TGATTTTTTTTTCTGTTCTTGTTACAGGAAGCTTATTCGTAAGGTGCTTTATGTTCTGTTCAGATTCAAGGATAGAAGAAGGTGATTTAGGCGGTCTTACTTTTAAAACTTACAAAAGGATTACGAAACCCCTAATCCCTCTCTGCNCCCCCCCCCCTCTCTATTTCTCTCTCTCTCTCTATAGCTCTCCATTAATACCTTGATTTTTTTTTCTGTTCTTGTTACAGGAAGCTTATTCGTAAGGTGCTTTATGTTCTGTTCAGATTCAAGGATAGAAGAAGGTGATTTAGGCGGTCTTACTTTTAAAACTTACAAAAGGATTACGAAACCCCTAATCCCTCTCTGCTTTGGCGTTGTCTCTCTCTGTCTCTCACCATCTCTCGGTCACTGAAGCAAGTTTTCTACTTTGGCATCTCTCAGGTTCCAATCTCATTGATAACTCTCTTGTTGTTGGTAACAAAAAATCTGTTGTGTATATCTAGATCTACAAAAGAACCCAACTTGTACATGGATTATGTTTGTATTGATTTTAATTTCACAATGATAGATATATGTAACTCAAGGAAAGAACAATTATGATTTCTCGTTGATAGATGTATGTAATGGATGTCAAGAAAGAAAAAAACGAAGCTTTACATGAATTTGATTGCTCATCAGCTTCTTTGTTATATTGATGTCTTATGTCTTAAATGGGTATCACTTTCAAGTTCTGTGTACCATACTCTTAGCTCAGTTATGGTCTCTTTTTTTTAATATTTTCTGCAGAAAGCCTTGTGAGTACACGACAATGGTGGTCAGTGGTCACCGATGCTGAAGGTCCTCTTGTTGGGAAAATTACTTGTGGAACTTTACTGCGAAAGTTGCATGTAAATCTCTCAACCATCTCCTCTTTGCACTGAAGTTGCAGGCCTTTTACGTTAGCTGTGACATCTCAAGCCATGATCAGGCTCTGTAGACATTACCTGCATGAACATGCTTTGATTGTGAACAAGATTGGACTGTTTTCATATCTGTTTATCAAGTCCATCTCCTCTGTCTATCAAGAGGTATATTTACCGTAAATACGTTTGATAATGCTAGGTGTCTTGTGAGTGATAAAGCTAAGAGTGATAAACTAAATTGTGCTAAGAGTGATATACACTTGTACCGTTTCTTTTTTATGTTTCTTTGCATTTTCAGTGCTTTTGATATGGTCAGTCATTATCTGCTGCTATGTTAATATTTGCAGAATCCCTTAACCAAGGTCAATGGCCAGGATAAAGCAGTCTCTACTGAAGATCATCCTGCAGAAGAAAGATGGTGAATA